ACAGCAAGACATTATTTTCTTCATATTAAATTTTTCTCAAATCTATTGGGAAAAAAATAATAGGGTATGAACACATATAATCAAATTCTATTATCCAAATTAGTGAAATAAAAGTAATATATAGTCAAATTAATGAAACAGCCTAAAATTGCACATACAGGATGGGAATTACTGGAATTGTAATCATTTCAAGTATATGTGTTACTAGGGCTAATGTGATACTACAATTTTCTGAGCTCATTTTTACTGTTCATAGTAAAATCACTTTAGAGAGAATCCTTAAGTGGTTTAAATAAATAAACATTTAAAGAAATTGAAGCATTCACTGGTTTCTTGTTATTACAGGACTACTATAGAACATTTGACAAATGCAAATGAAACAGAGGATACAGCCTGTCACCACCGATATTTTTTAAATTTATATTTTGGCATCTGGGGAAATGACTCAGCGGCACTGGCTGCTCCTGCAGAGGACCCAGGGTCAGTTCCCAGCACCCACATGGTGGCTCACAACCATCTGTAACTCTAGTTCCAAAGGCTCACACCCCATCTTCTGGCCTCTGTGGACACTGTATGCAGGCAAACACTTGTAGGTGGTCTCTGGAGCCAGAACTCCTGAGCGTGAGCCACAGCCCCAGCTGCCAGCATTTTGTCACAGCAGTGGAGAAACAAACTAGGACACCACCCGTGCTGACCTTCTCTCTATCACACACTCCTAGACCCACACCATCCTTCCTGCAGTCCCTGTATGAGAGAACAGGCTTGTCTCTTCTGCCCAAGCTCGTCCCCTTCGCTCCTTCTCCTCTGCCAGCAATGTCTCCTCCGACCCGTCTTAGAATTGCCTTCATTGTTGCTGTGCTGTTCTGCCTTCTTTATGTCCTCCTCTCTTTCCTGGCGCCTTCCTGTTTGTTTTCTTTGACCTTGACCGCCATTTTTTTGTCTAAGTTCTGCTTTTCTCTCCTCATGAAGACTTTCCTAAGGACATTCCCAGAACTGTCCCAGCTGATCTCTGCAGCTCCTTACCATGTCAGTACCTGACAGGGTTACTGCCAAAATTATCAGTGACCCACTGTTCACAGAAAAGGGTCTTTGTAGAACCATGGCCTCCTCTGCTAGCCCCACTTCCCTTTGCTCAAACGTAATGCTCCAGTAAACCGTCTGTCTGGTCACTCCATTCTGTCTTGTATTTATTCACAGCACTGCTTCTGGTCAGGACGTGTCCTCTCCTCACTCTCTTCTGGCCAGCCCCTGCTCTGGCTCCTCATACAGAGCAGGCAGGTCCCTGTCTCCTTCTTTGCTTCCCACCACGCCCTACAGTTTCCCTTCATCTGTCTCCTTCACAGCACAGGGTGGAATTCTTGAGGACAGAAGCCACACCATGATTGATGACTCTAAGGCCAGGCCTCACACTCAAGGTTTAGTAAGTGCTCGCTTAACAAAGGAATGACAAATTATGAAAGAGCCGTGTGTTGGCACTTGGCCTTTCCCATGCAGCTCCCCTGTGCAGCAGGAACAGTTTCACAATCATCCCATGAGCCCCCCCACCCCCCACCCCCACTTTTTCCAGCTTTCAGTGCACATTGGGGCCCAAGAAAATAGTTCTGGATGATGAGCAGTTACCATAAATGCTTCCCATCACTCCCAGCCCAGCATCTCTGGGACCTTCCCCTGCTTTTCCCCTTCTGGAAGTCTTGAGAAGGTGGCATCACAATCATGTAGAAAAGAAACCCAGCAGGACATGGAGTAGGAGGAGAAGCCTGGTGTGTTCAGCCACAGAGATGTCAGGATTTGTTACACAGCACAGTCTAGTCTCCTCTGAGTAATGCTTGTGGCTACAAGAAAATAAACATTCATCTCTGTCTAAGTACTCACCTACCTGGTTTGTAATGCTTTCTCTTCTCCCTAAGTCCACATCATGTCCAGGCTTTAATATAATACCACACTGATGTTTTCTAACTGGACTATCTGTGGCTCACCAGCCCCCAGCCTCAGAGCCTCCATCTCGGTGCACTCTCTACATAAACATAGCTCAGTTAGCAAGGTACTTGGCTAGCATGCTCAAAGCCCTGGTTCAATCCCCAGCACTTCATAAACCTGCGTTAGGGACATTTTCCTTTTCCGTATTGTGCACATCTGCAACCCCAGCACTCAGAAGGTGGAGGCAAAAGGAGCAGAAGTCCAAGGTCATCAGTGACAGTGAATTTGAGGTTAGCCTGAGCTACATGAGACCTTGTCAAAAATGAATAAGTAAGGCCGGCATGGTGGCGCATGCCTTTAATCCCAGCACTCGGGAGGCAGGGGCAGGAGGATCTCTGTGAGTTCGAGGCCAGCCTGGTCTCCATGGTGAATCCAGGACAGCTGGGGCTACAGGGAGACCCTGTCTCAAAAAGACCAAAAAAAAAAAAAAAAGAAGAAGAAGAATAAATAGAAGTGACTTCGCTTTTCTACCCTTCCTGCCTAACATCCAGGCAGGCAGATGTTTGTTTCTTACAGTGTAAGTGAAGGTGAGAACATTTTCCTATCCAAAATACCCACATGCTTACACACTGACTCCACAGCCACGTGCCACCTCTGTTACTTCTGGGAATTCTGCCTCCGTACATGCAGTCCTAGACTAAGGAGATCAGATTACCCCCTCCCCACCCCAGAGTAGAACTCTGCAGCTCTCCCAGGTGCCAAGGATGTGTGTGACCACCACTCAGTATTCTGAGGACAACTGATAAAATGCTGTTCTTTGCTCTAAGTATTCTATAAAACGTGCTACCTCTCCAAATGAGACCCCAGGTTTCCTGAGCTGTGTGTGGATCACAAGTGTTTCAGGGTAACTGGGATCCAGATAATGCTCTGTAAATAGGGTTCACCTTTCTGCTCCATAGTTTTGGAACGACTCTGTTCTCAGACCAGCTCTCTGTCCTTCCTGACTGAATTCTCAGGCCTGCATCCTTCCAGTTTCAAATCCAGCAGGAGCAAGCCGGTTCTTACTGCTAGACATCTCAGTCCAACTTTTAATGTTTGTGTGGGTCTGGAATAAGTTTTACCCTGTCTCTGAGCTAATCTCTGTGGCCATGTCAAACAATGCTTTAACCAACCAGGCTTTGGTCACTCCCACTGTAGTAAAAGGAAATCAAAGAAAGGAGAGAGTCTGAAGGGAGAGTGGGTTAGGAAGGGAAGGAAATAGCATTGCAGCTTGGCACTGGCTGCCTCCGCACCGTCGGCTTCTAGGAGGTGGGATGGAGATACAGTCAATGGGGCAGTGGCCCATTATTACGTGGGCTACACTTTGGTCATAGACCTTCTCTCCCTTCTCTGCACTGCTTCACCCTTACATCCCGTAAGTTTTTGCTTCCAAGAGTAGGTCTATGTCAAAGATTCTCAAACTGTCAGTCCCAGTCCCATATAGTGAATGTAGAAGCCGTGAAAAATCGGACAACCGTGAAAAGTTTCTGAATGTGCAACATCTAAAACTTAATTTGAAACCAATACATAATGAATCTGAGGCGTTTCTGGGAGCACTCGGCTGTGTTGCATCATATGACATCACTGTAGCCTCCTCCGGAGAGCACAACATGCACACTTGCACTGAGCTCGCCATTGACTCAGGTTCATGGTCTCTGTGTATTACGAATTGCTCTGTTTTCACTATACATAAAAATTTTTCTGGTCCATAGAAACATAATGGTTTGTTAGGTAAACAAAGACTGTTGTTTCCACCATCACTGCTCAGTGTGTAAGTGCCAAATTAGTCTGCCTTTGGACTGTTTTATCAGACAGGTGACTTTAAAAATTGCCACTTGAATTCTGACTTAAATTTCATTTAAAGAAAGTCATCCATTGAACTTTGGCTTGAGATTAGAACAGAATTTCTAACAATTTCTAATGGCCCTAAAATAACCTCTACCATCTGTGTTATGTGTTTGACAAGCAACATTCTCAGCAGGATGATCATAAAATCAAAATATCGATCAACTCTGAAAAATGTTGAAAATGCTCTATGTCCTGCAGGGTCAATTATTCAAGGTTTAATTCTTTATGTAAAAATAATCATAACCATTAGTCATTAGTATGCAATTTTTCTTCCATCTTAAATAAGTGATAAAATAAATATGTATTCCAAAGAATTGTTTTAAAATAAATTTCTTTATGGTTTATTATCAGTAAAGGTTTGGTTTGTATTCTGTTTTGTATATCTCTACACCCAGAGTCATATTAAAGTTTCTCAGGCAAAAAAGGTTAGAAGTGAGAAAGTTTAACCCTCCCTTATCTAGAGAGAAGCAGCTTCTCAATCAGAAACGAGCTGACGTCCCCACCAGCTGATGGGTAGTTACTTGTCAATAGAGTGAAGGGGTAAGAAGTTGAAGGTTCTATTTCAGATTATCACATCACAGTGCTACAATGCTCGGTACCTACAGATGTTTGTGTGTGGTGCTCAAACTGTGTCCTAAGAGCTGTAGTGAGGATGCAGTGATTAAGAAAAAGAAGAGGCCTGGGCTTCGTGAAAAAGAAACATGCCAAGCAATTAAAGTACAATTAACAACACAAAAGATAATTGGAATATATTAAGAAAATAGATTAACTTGTCTATGTAATAGGTCTTTATTTTTATAATGATGGTGCTGATTGATTCTAGATAAATCTAGGTTGACTACCCTTATAATGAGTTTTTTGGAGGTCTGTTAAACTTGTAATTTCTTAGAGAATAGAGAATTAATAGTAGATTCTCAAAACCTCAAGGTCCAAGAAATGATATTCAGAGAAGACTAACCAATCTCCTCTCCTCCCCTCCCCTCCCCTCCCCTCCCCTCCCTCCCTCTCTCTCTCTCTCGAGATAAGGTCTCATTATTGTCGTCAGAGTTCTCTCGGGGTGTCTTGTGTAATCAGAAAAACCATATAACATATTTTTATATGAATTTATTATGGTTTATGCCCCTCTCTCTCTCTCTCTCTCTCTCTCTCTCTCTCTCTCTCTCTCTGTCTCTGTCTCTGTCTCTGTCTCCCCCCAGCCTGAAGTTCTGGATCAAATACAGAATCTAAGGGAGCTGTGGATGGATAACAACGCTCTGCAAGTCCTTCCTGGGGTACGTAAGTTTTATCACGTATGTGTTCTGACAACTACATGTTGTCTGTGTTTTACAATCACTAATTCCAGATCTTGATTCTCAGTGTTTGCAAAGTAAATTAACACTTGGGGCCCTAGGGGCACCCGGTGCTTCCCCTCGCTTGCTTCTGAAGGCTCCGTGCATGTTCCAGGTGCTTGCTCTGCTCCTCAGCAGTGTTTCTGCTTCCCCCTCTCCTGCCACTTTTTTTTTAAAGCTGTTGAATCCATAGTTATATTTCAAATACATATTTTATTTTATAAAATCAGCCTTCTAACAGAGGCAGTGGTACAGTGGGGTCTATCCATAGTATAAGAGCTCTTCCACACAGCGAAAGTGCCTTGGTCTGCATGCGTGGTGTCCAGTGAACCCACTTACATATCTGGAAACTTCAAGGAGTCAGATTTTCTCCTTGAGGACAGGACAGTTCAGCAGTCCCTCCTGAGAAATCCACTTGCACAAGGCGTGACTGTTCCTGAGTTTTCCATCTAGTGAGAGCATGGCTTCCTAGGGAACCGGGCTCCAGTGGTTCCAGGTTATAAGTAGATGCACACTTGCAGCAAGTGCAGGTCTCGCCTCCCATCTCCTGGCCACCTCCACACCCCCATCACTGTAAAAGTCCAGGCAGGAGGAAGGATCATTCTTCTGCCAAGACAAAGGTTTCTGTTTGAGTCCCCAAAGCCAACCATACTCTTAAACTGACAAAAATTTGCTTAAAATTATTTCAGAGGCAATGCGCACACAACATTTATTCTCCTGAATAAGCATGAGACCACAGAAAAAGGGATATTTGGAAAAAGATTAAGGAAAAATACTTTTTATTTTGGAAGGGATATATTTATAACATCACAAATACACGCAAGAAAGGTCACATCTTGTATTTGTTGATTTATACAAGAATCATTGTATTAGTTTCTTTTCTGTGGCTGTGATAAAACACCGTGACCAAGGCAGCTTATAGAAGGAAGAGCTTATTTGGCTTAGGGTTCCAAAGAGAGTCCATAATGATGAAGACGCAGGGTAGCAGGAGGCAGCCAGAGCAGAAAGCCAAGCAGTCACAGCTTCCAGCAGGCACAGGAAGCAGAGAGCAACTAGAAATTTGGCAAGGCTTAGGAACTCTCAAAGCCCTCCCCCAGTGACATGCTTCCTCCAGCAAGGCCACACCTCCTAAAGCCTCCCAAAACAGCACCACCAACTGGGGAAAAAATGTCCAAACACTCGGAGCCCATGGGGGACATGCTCATTCAAACCACCACATTCCACTCCCCGGCCCCCACAAGCTCATGACCTTATAAAAGCAAAATGCATTCAATCCACCTTCAAAAGTCCCCATAGTCTTTACCAGTTTCAATACTGTTATTCAAAAGTCTCTTCTGAGACTCAAGGCAATCTCTTAACTGTAAGCCCCTATAAAAATCTAAAGACAAATTACATACTTCCAACATACAATGGCACCAAATATACATTCCCATTCTAAAAGGGAGGCATGGGGACACAGTGAGGAAATATTGGACCAAAACAAGACCAAAAACCAAAAGGGCAAACACCAAATCCGGTAGCTCCATGTCTGACTTCTGGGACTTTACTTCCAAAGGGCTTAGCTGGTGCAGCCCCTCCAGCATTGCTGTGTGAAACCATCATTTATCAAGACAACTCTGAATGAGAAACCATGCCAGTGTCAGAGTGACAGAGCTGGACCATCCGATGACCTTGGCTGCATTTGTTTGGAAAATTCATACATAGCAGTAGAGACCAGTCTTGATACCATGACACATCAGAGTACAGTAGTCCCCCATATCCATGGTTTGCTTTCCACAGTGTCAGCCACCAGCCATCCACCACAGTCCAAAAACAAAATAATAATTCCAGAAATGAAAATGTATAATTTATGGTAGATTTCTTTGCAATATGCTGTTCTAATTGTTCTGTTTCATTACTAGTTTTGCTGTTTAATTGATAAATTTCATCATAAATATCTACAAAAAACACAGTCTATTCAGGCTTGAGTCATCCACAGAGTGTCCTAGACTGTATCCCCATGAATAAAGGGAGGTCACCATATGTACATTCCTGGAGAACACAGATCAGACACCTCTCAATTCTCAAATCAGACACCAGATGCAGAGGCTGCACAGTCAGAACATGTACCTGTTTAGAAGTTGGCACCTGCCTCTTGAACATATTTAGTTCATAAAAACCAGTTACTTTCCATTTACCATGAGCTAGCCACTGCTAGGTGGTTTACCAATATTCACTTATTAGATCTTCATGGCAACCCTTTGGGCAGGCTCTGTCGATCCTCACCTTGTAGGTAAGGGAAGTAAGCCCCAGAAAGCGCAGATGACTAGACCTTGGTCATGAGCCAGCGAGCCAGCCCTGGGGGTGAGTCAAAGCAGCTACTTTTGAGTTGCCCAGCAATGCCTGACCTCACAGTGGGCATCAGCCTGCTCTCTGGGGCCATGGAGGTGAGACTTGGGATGACTTCACTTTCACTGTGGTTACACCTTCCAAAGGTATACGTCAGTGCACCCCAACTCCATGATGGGCTCATTATTAGGTGGAAAATGATGAAACAGACAATCCTGCCCAATCTGTCTTTCCTGAAAGTTTTGCATCTAATCTGCTCGCTTTCTTAGATGGCTTCATTTAGCATGCTTGAATTTGGGTGAGACTTGGGATGACTTCACTTTCACTGTGGTTACACCTTCCAAAGGTATACGTCAGTGCACCCCAACTCCATGATGGGCTCATTATTAGGTGGAAAATGATGAAACAGACAATCCTGCCCAATCTATCTTTCCTGAAAGTTTTGCATCTAATCTACTCGCTTTCTTAGATGGCTTCATTTAGCATGCTTGAATTTGACATTTTGCTGTGGCCTGGGTGGGAATCCCCCACTCTTCCCCACTGTAAATAGCCTCAGCTTTCTGAAGGTTGACTATCCAGCTGTCCCTGATCTTGAGCTGTCTCAGATGCAATCATCAGCCCCTGTCTGTCAATTTGGAAAATGAATAATCCTCAATATTTGCTGTCAAAAGATGTAAAAGAAGCCAGTCCACCTTTTTCCTCTTCACACATCATAGCATGTTAAGTTAATGTGCCTTTGGAAGTCTAGGCTCTTATTTTCTACTCATTTTTCATGAGTCAGAGAGGCAACCAGACCGTCAAGCATTTCGTCTTCTGCACAGCTGTCTCACAGCTGTCACGACACCCACCAACACACGCCAGCAATGCACTGAGTTTCTATTGTCTCTGAACAGGGTCTGTATCTTCTCCCACTCTTTCCCTACTTCTGAGGCTCACTGCCAGACCCTTCTGTGCCCAGAGGAGTGCTGGAGCAAGTTCACAGTCTTGAGGACTGGAGACTTGCTGCAGGCGCTCAGCATCTATGCAAGGTGTTTGGAAGACTAAAAATAAACACAGAAGTGGCATTTCATTTCCAAATGGAATGTTTAGATAAACTGCACAGCAGATACTGCGTTACCCTGAAAAGAGCAAGGTGGCGTTGTAATCGGCTTTGAGGATGAAAGACTCTTCTCACAACAGGACAGAAAAGTAAAAAGCACACACAGAACCAAACAGGGTTCCCTGTGTTCCCGGAAAGAGCCGGCTACAGTGCAGGAACACTGGCAATAAAGTGACAGGTTTTTTTCTAAGAGACATTCTGAGTTTGGGAAACTCTTTTCTGGTCTGAACTCTCCATGTTCATATTCTCCCTCCCTCTTTCTTTCTCTGTCACATGAGCACTGAGATGAAAGGTGCCCTGCCACCACCATACCCTACCTGTTCTTCGTTCTTAACCTCCCTCCCCAGGTTCCAGTTCCTCTCATTTCTGTCTCTCACAGGACCTAGGGCAGCTAGGGACAGGCCCCGGTTTAGGGACCCGGATGGTGGGCTAACTGGAGGTCTGATGGAAGTGAGGTGTGGTTTCACCCCCGCACTCACTCAACCTGGGAATGTTATAGAGAGGGCATGCTCCTGCGTGCCCTTCAGGAACGTTTCCCTGGCTTCTGAAAACTCTGCTCATGCCCTCCTCAACCCTAAGCCCAAACCTGATCATGTTGTTCCCTCTCTTATAAATTTTGAGTAGCTCTCCTTACCTGTGAGACAGAGTTCTGGTCTCTCCATGACATGTGAACACTGTCCAGCTGGATCCTTCCTGCAGACCCACTTCAATCACTCTGCAATTCCCTCTAACATGCCATGCCTTTCCACGCTTCTCTAGGAGTGGGAGTGCTGTTCTCTCTTCTAAACTCTGCTTTTCTTCTCCCCCTACCCCCCGTGAATGTGTATGCACATGTGTGTTGAGGTCGGAGTTTGATATCAGGGGCCTTTCTCAGTCGTTCTCCGCCTTATTGTTTGGACGGCATCTCTCACTGAACCTGGAGCTCACTGATGCAACTGGACTGGCTGGCCAGTCAGTGAGCCTCCGTCCCTGCTTCCCGGCACTCAGATTGCACGCCCGTGCCACCATGCCTGACTTGCTCATGAAGGCTGGGGTTTGAACTGGGGTCCCCAGGCTTCTGCAGCAGGCATTTTACCTACTGAGCCATCTCCCTAGTCCATAGGTCCCTGTTGTTGACAAAGACCGTGCTGGGCAGTCTGTGCCCCCTCCCTCTTCTCTGGCTTTCCCTGCATTCACTCTGTGCACTTATCAGGGGATTATAATTGTCTATTTGCATGTAATCTCTCTAAAGATGAAACCTTGCTTTAACCATTCATGATGTTGCACAGTTATAACCCCAGCACTTAGGAGGCAGAAAGCAGGAGGATTTTGAATTGAAGGTCAGCCTGCACTACACTAGGAAACTCTGCCGCAAAACTTTTTAATTTTTATTGAATTTTTGCAATTTTCATACAATATAATTTGATGGTATTTAGATCCCCTTCCCCATCTTAAAAAATGAGCCCCGTGTGGTGACACACGCCTTTAATCACAGCACTCAGGAGGCGGAAGCAGAATCTCGTGAGACTGAAGCCAGCCTGGTCTGCAGGGAGTTCCAGGCCAGCCGGGACTACAGGGAGACCCTGTCTCAAAAAACAAAAAACAAACAAGCAAAAAATTATTTTCAAATGATTTTGGCTTCATCTTGACAAGTTCCTAGGCTCATGACGTTTTTCTACAGTGTAGTGCACAGAGAATAGCATAGATCAGTTCTTTAAAAGGGCTGTTGAATTGACAAAATATTGATCCCAATTAGTAGAATAAAGTCCAAATCACAATTTTAACTCTTTCTCAGACGTTTGAAACTTTAAGGGTAGAGTGTCAGCATGCAGTGCCCCGGTGACCACTGTGTTTAGTTGTTTTAGTCTGTGGTATCTTTGAGAGTTGTGCTCTGGCTATTACATTAGCTCATAACTTATCTTTCAAGCACTGTGGGAAAAGAGAACTCATAGGCATTTACAACACAGTGAGTTTTTATCAGATGCACAGTGTTCCACAACCATCATCACAAGGTAACGTCAGAGCATTTTCATGATCCAGAGAAGAAAACTGTGGCTCCGGTCTCAGACACGTGCCCCTCCACGTCCTTGACCCTCCTCTACCTCTGTCTTCAGAGAATGGCCTGCTCTGGACATAGCACAGGAGTTGAATCCTACAATATAAGGTCTTTTGTGACTTGCACCTTGCAAAGTTCATCTGTTTTGTAGCGTATATCAACAGTTCATTTACTGCTATTGCCCCATCATGCAGACAGCCCACTCTCTGAATCCTGTGCAGTAACTGATGCAGCTTTGGGGTGATGCCACTTTGCTCATGAATAATGCATCTGTGACCTTGTGTGCACATGTGTTTCCATTCTGAGAACTATGTCACAGATGTGTCAGCCATGAAGAGACTCTTATGTTTCCAAATGCATCATTGTGCATTCTGACCAGTGATGCACAATGTCAGTTTTTCTATACCTTTGCCAACATTGGTTGTTATTATGGTGGCTTTGAAATTGATTTCAATATATTGTGTTTCTTACAGCTTTAAAGTGTCTTGTGAAAGTTTCTCAACTAACCCTGAGTTTATGCAATGTCTTCAAGTCTATAGGAAAGTTAAAGATGTTGGTATACCTGGATATGTCAAAAAACAGGATAGAGACTGTTGACCCGGATGTTTCTGGATGTGAAGCCCTGGAGGACCTTTTGCTGTCCTCCAATATGTTGCAGCAGCTGCCCGACTCCATAGGTGAGGATGTCTTGTCGTGAGCAATTATGATGTGTACAGGTTTCTTTTGGCATTATAATGTGCTTATATATGTAGGTAATATGCCACTAACCTGGTATTAATAAATCATCAGATTCAGTGTGCAAGATGATAAGATAGTGTTTTACAGATATCTTAAAATGAGCCGTTAACGTTAGCTGTCAAATCAAGTCTCTAATGAAATCCTTAACTCTCCTAATTGTGTAATTTCAGCATAAGGAGTGTGTGCTTAGATTTAGTTGTTTATAATGATGGGTATCTGCTTATATCGTTTGGGGGTTATGAGAGTTTCTACCTATAGGATGTTGACCGAGTCTACTTTAATGTCTTTGTAGCATTGCTATAAGAGAGAGATAGCACAAAGATGTGTGTGTGGAATAGCTCACTGGCTCTGTTAATTTTGGAAAAGATACATTGTCCTTAATATACTGTTAAGATGCTTGCCAAAAAAATAACGTGGGAGTGGATAATTGACATGTGCTTAATCTTTTTCACTTATGAAATTTATGAGTAAGTTATAAAAGACTCAAGAATGGGTTAGACTTGTGTGTAGACCCTTCCCATTATTTATGAGAGGACTCAGTAGGAGATAATCATCAAATTACTTAACTTTGAATATAGATTTTAACCTGTTAGGATATGTCATGTATTCCACAGCTCACTAATGCTTCAGGAAGTCAAGTTACAGACTCGGTGGCCCAGTTAAGGGGAAACAAGACAAGGCAGTTTACCAGCCGCCTTCTGTTCCTTCTCACCACTAAGCATTCCTTCAGACTGACGGAGAGCACTGGTTTTGGTAAAATCACACCAGCTCTTCTTTCTTTAAATGTACAGACTTTTTAATTTATATGATCACATATTTTAAGCAGTTTTTTTTCCAATCATCAGACTAGACTGAGAGCTTCGTTAAACCCACTGAGACCACCAGGCTGAGTCTTGGGAGTTTCTGGTACAGTGAGCATGGTAAGCCTGATCTGTATGTTAGACACCCTAGATGAAGCTATGAGCAGAGTAGAAAGTGTTGGTGTGTTGACAGGCAAGGGGCATATCAACTACAAAGAGGATGCCCTGATCAAGATCACAGAGTGACAGCACGTGACCTTACACCACAACACCATGTCATATGATCAAAAATGCATAGGCAAGATACATGGATTCACAGGTGTTTGCCCATCGCTGCCTCCTCGGTGCTGAAACTGTGTGCCTGGCATGTGGTATACCCTCAGTAAAGGAAAGAATTTATCCATGCATACAAAGAATGAATATCTATCTGAGCCTGAGCTAAGATAAAAATACAGCAATGATCTAAGGAAATATAAGAAAATATAGGACACCCGGAAATGTGCAAGAAATATAAGTTAAATACGCACACTACAAATGTAAATAAATTTGTTAATAAGCATACTACAAATATCAATATATCTACTTAAATAGAAATAAAATTTACATTGTAAAGCAGAAGAGGGGGATTGAAAAATTTATACAGAACAGGAAAGAAGATTGCAGAAAAAAACAGAAATGAAAAGCAACAACACTAAATGATTTGCCATAAACCACAGCAAATAAATGTAATGAGTTAAATCTGTTTTATTTAAAAGACCCAGTTATTTCGGGAAATGGGCATTATTATCTTGAGATTATTATTTGTTTCGCTTAGCTTTCTTTAAGAAAGCAGTTAAGAGAAATTACCCTTCCAGGTAGAGGAAAGCATCTTGTTGGGTGACAGAGCACCAGCCAGATGTGCAACTGGACAGGACAGGAGACGACCTCATCCTCCTAATACCTTTTCACATCCACATGGTTCTGGCAAAGACAATTCTGAAACAGCAGCTGCCCCTCGGTTGTCTTTGGACCATATTGAAAATTCATAGGAAGCTGCATTTGGATATCTGTAGCATTGCCCAAGACCCAGTTATAGCCATGGACCAGCTTTCCCCAGAGAATTCCCCTCTGGTCAGCAGATTGTCTGGATAGGACACGAGCTTGGCTCTGGGCCCCAGAATAGCCACAGATGCTAACTGGATGATAAATTATTTCATCTTTTTTATTTGAGCTTGGATTATCTAACAGACTACCAAGATGTTTTTGAAAAATAGGAGATAAGGATTTCCACAGTATCAATAAAATGAAATAAATAAAACAGAAGTTCTACTTCTGACTTGAGCCCTTCCTCAGCTGAGGCACAGTTGAAGGAGTGGCAGACTTAACATCCATCTCTGTGCACAGCCCTCTCCTGTGCTGTTTTAGGGAAGGCAGAAGGCCCTCCTTTCCTCTTTCAGACAGTTTCGATCATCAGCTGCTTTGAATAGCAGGGAAAATCAACAAAGAATGGAGAATTTTACTTTCAAATCATCTTCCCTTCATCACCTAGTACTTAGGGACCCTGGCTTTGTAGTCAAGTTACCTGGGTTCAAGTGACTTAGCTAGCCATGTGACCTCCAACAACTCACTTAATTTCTCTGCAGGTATAATATTAACTGCATCCTGTTCTCATTGTGGGGAACACACTAGTGCATACAAGACTGCCTAGAACAGGCCCTGACGTACTAGGTGTTCAATCAGTGCCAGCTATTATAAGAACACAGTGATTATGATGCTTAGATTTTTCCAAGTGCACAGCTATTTGCTTTTAAAGCTCTATTGTATGTGTATAAATGTCATGCAAATTTTATCTACATTAATGAAAAGCTTTTTAATATTTAGTATCAGTTAAGTACTTCTATAAAAGTACCTAAAAATCACAGGAACAGTCCTCCTCTTCCTGTAGGCACTGTTGAATTGGGAGTGCATAAAGAGGTAGAGAATGGGGAAGGATAAGCCTAAGGAAGAGCTGGGTGGGTACATGGAACGATCCAGCAGAGGAGGACACAAGCCCAGGTGGGGCTGGTGCTCATGGCACAGTCACATTCCTACCCAGGCTCTGGAGTCCATCCAGAATGGACTCGTGGATGGTACATGACCAGCAAAGTGACCACGTCATCATAAGAGTGAGTTCCCATAAATCCACAGGTGTGGTGTTGAGCAGAGACCTAACATCCTTTAACCATAAAGCTCGATGTCAGAGCCCCTCCAATCTGCATAAAATCCCAATGAGTTCACGTTTACCTGAGTCCTCCAGTTGCCTCAGGATTTTCCCAGTGTTGCTACAGACAGGGGCCTCAGACCTTGAAGAGCACCTGATGGCCTGGTTTCCTGGTGTCAGCTTCACCGTCTGTAGTCCAGTCTGTAGCTCCTTGTCATCCAGTTCAGACTGTCAACCTTCCCTGCTCTGCTGGAAGGCTGGAGCAAGTTGATCAGGGCTTCAAGCCATAAAACATTTCACTGTGATTCATGGCCCCAAGGCATCAACAAGCTCAGGTGTCCTTTTATATTTCCAAAGCCAGTATTTCAAAACATGCTGGAGAAGCTGAAAAGATTGAAACACGTTCTGCACACAAATGAAGGCACCAGGAGACGGTCAGGCCGGAAGATAACTACCACAGTGTTGTGCTGTGCTGTCCTGCCTCCACAGGTTCACCACCTGGTTGATTAAGCCCCAGCATTGCAGGATCCTGACGACGGTTCTCTACACCAGAGTGGAAGTTTCGACTGCTTATGAAGAAAACATAACTGACTATACTGAAATCCAGACCATGGCTGTACTTCAGACTCTCGTGGCTTCCTCTGGCTTTTAAAGAACCATCAAAATGCTTCAGTCCACAAAGCATGGGTTTTGCAGGAAGTTCGACATGCCTTAGCAGTGGAAACATACATTAGCACATGTGCACACACATATACACATTCCAGGATGGTTTCAAAGAACCACGTTTTCACGTTATTATATGAAAAGTTCCTAGAGGGGGCTGGAGAGATGGCTCAGTGGTTAAGAGCATTGGGTGTTCTTGCAGAGGGCCCAGGTTGGATCCCCAGCACCCACATGGTGGCAGACAACCATCCGTAGCTCCAGTTCCAAGGGAATCCGGCACCTTCTGACCTCTGCTGTCATTGCATGACACAGGTGCACTTACACACATGCAGGCAATACACTCGTACACATAAAATAAATATAATAAAATTATTTTTTAAAAGCTCCTAGAAAAACTTCATTAAAGAAAGTGGTATGATTTTGTTATGCTGGACATTTCTCAAAAGACTTCTAATCATGAGTTTAACAGATTTTTCCAAACAAACTTTCTTCAGGACACAGGAATCTGTAGCATGCATATAGAGTAAAGGCTAGAAGAGCACTAATGCTCCGGCCTTTGGTTTGGCTACTTAAGCCATATGGATTGTCCAGGCTGTGTGGTGGCTGGGTAAGGAGGGTGGCTATACCAAAGGCACTGGTCTCCCACTACTGTGTGATAACTGCTCATTACAGTGCCCGACAGAAAGCAAGCAAGCCATAAAAGTATGACAGGCATAGATCAGACGGTGAAGATACATAGTTTGGGGGCCAGGAAGATTGCTCAGTGATTAAAGGACTGAATTCAGATTCCAGTACCCACACACATGCCAGGTGGGCAGAGCAGTCCAGCTGTAAGTCCAACCTCAGAAAGTGGAGACAGGGGATCCCTGGAGCAAACTGGCAGCAGAAAAGTAGAGTAAGAGAACTCAGAGTTTGATTGAGAGACATCACCTCAAAGAAGAATAAGGTCCAGGAAGATTTCTGATATCGACCTCGGGCCTCCACACACACATGTGACCACACACACATGAAAAGAAAGAGTTGAAACATTAATCCCTGGCCTGTTCAGCCTGGTGGATTAGAAACTGCAGTTTTTGTTCTTAATGCTGAAGGAGTCAAGGATTACTGTAACCTAAGAGAGCTGGGTATCACGTGTGGTTGTTTTCAATCCTAAGCCCTTCATGGAAGGCCCTCCCGTGGCTTGTTGGTTATTACACTCCATTTAGGTTTGTTTACAATCTGTATCACAAGAAAGGTAGCTATTGGTGCTTAAGAATTAAGTCACTGTTAAATCTCAGCTGATGTGTCTAGAAGGTAAGAGCCTGTGTGGACACGGATGCGTGTGGACCGCTGGGTTTGTTTGCTTGCCTGCTTTGATGATCTTTGCTCCCATTGACATAGAATTTTCACAGCATGAAGCCAAAGCTGGTCTGTACCTGCTTATGGCTCATATAAAGCGAATGCAGTCGACTGGAACGCGGTATACGCATCACAGCTGATCCCAGCGCTTCCCCTATGACATTCCCAGCTCTGTGTATTAATCAAACTTTTCTGTTTTAGGACTGTTGAAAAAGCTAACTACTCTGAAAGTAGATGACAACCAACTCACAGTGCTGCCCAACACAATCGGAAAGTAAGTGCCCACACTTCACCTGTTTGTTACCAGAAATGAAAGGCTGTGTTGCGTTTCTACCCAAGCCCTGATGAAAATTGTTCCTTTAGCAACTTATTTTAAACTATTTGGTATTTGGTTATAGATTGATAGATAGATGATTGATTGATTGATTGATAGATAGATAGATAGATAGATAGATAGATAGATAGATAGATAGATAGATGATAGATAGATGATGATAGATAGATAGATAGATAGATAGATAGATAGATAGATAGATGATAGATAGATAGATAGATAGATAGATAGATGGATAGATAGATGATGGATGGATAGATAGATAATAGATGATATAGATAGATGATAGATGATTGATAGATATAGATAATAGATGATAGATGCGTATGTCTTAATTTAACTTTAGATCTAAATATCACATCCGCTCCAACTATACAATATAATGAGAAATTCAACAGGAAACTTTCACAAGAAAAGTGGTATCCCAGAGTGGCAATTACACTGTTAATGGTATTTTCCAGATGTATCAATCTGATATTTTTGACTGAGTAGCAGCCATAAATATACTTAAATATTTCTTGTAAAATATATTCAAGTTTTCTAAGCCAGGTGTGGTGGCACACGCCTTTAATCCCAGCACTTGGGAGGCAGAGGCAGGCAGATCTCTGTGAGTTCAAGGTCAGCCTGGTCTACATAGTGAGGTCCAGGCCAGCTGGGGCTACAGGGAGACCCTGTCTCAAAAAGACCAAAAAAAAAAATATATATATATATATATTATATATATATTCAAGTTTTCTAACGTTTTCTAAGGATTGATAGTACATATATATAATATGTGTGTGCGTGTGTGTGTGTGTTGAAGTAATACTTTAATAATTTTATATGTATAGAAACAAGGTATTCTTAGATACTGAAAAGCATTTGCTTAGCCAACATTTAAAAATAAAAAACTTTAAGAGAAAATTCCAGCACTGCCTTCAAAGGCATGTTGCACATATTTCTCATGTTACTTCTTTCTTAACTTCCTATTAACATTTGGTTCACAATTCTCGATGAAATATGCATGTTCTGTGTCTCACTGAAGTCATTTTGTTTACGATGTTCTTGAAGAAGTCAGTGCAAAGTAAGGCTATTCCATAGGGATCTGGATACCTCATCTTGGTGTGACGGACTTGATAAATCCTTTCACTTGATAGAGTTGGGTATACTCAAGGAGAGGAAGCTTTACTTTTTTAAAAAAAATTGCTTTATTTATTATTATTGGGTATAACTGACAGCAAACTGTCTGTTACAGTCCTCCCTTTGACAAGTTCTGACAGAGGGCTCAGCATCAGCACCACCACTACAGGCTAGGTAGCGAGCTTGTCCCACCCTTCTCTCCTCACTCTGCCAGAGTGAGGAACAGAGTTTCAGGCTTCACATTGAGGTCTTTGATCCATTTGGAGTTGAAAGATAAGGGTCCAATTTCGTTCTTCTGAAAAAAAGGGGTTGGTGAGGCAATTCAACAGTCCAAATTTATGCATTCAGGTTTTGAAGAATAGTAAAAATCTCAACCACTTAATATTTCAATGCCCAGACCATGCAATATGTTTCTGTCCAGAGTTGCTTCCATTTTCCCCAGTAGAGAGCAGTTTGCCTCTGGGGATACACAAAAGCAATTTCCTGATCAGTCTGATGCTTTCAAAACATTCTTCCTAATCACATTCTTCAGCACTAATCCTTCTTCACTGGGTCAAACTCTGGGGAGCTCAGCCTCAGTTAACCCTAGAAAGGCTGTGATTGGTATTGCTTTACCTCTTAGTTCACATTTCTTACATGAACTAATTTCCAAATTCTCTGAAGGTAAAAGGAAGAGGTTGGATAAGCAAACCAAAATCAAAGCAGGGTCACTTTCTTCAGCAAGAAGAGGCACCTGGGCTTTGGTCCTCCTGAGGAAGCGCAATGTCCACTCTTTGTTGGCCTCTGGACGACCCCCCAAGGGGCAAGATGGGCTCTGAAGCCTGGTTTTAACCCTGACACACTGGGTGTTACGTGCTCTCTACACTTGAGTCAATTTCCTAAATTCTTAGTTGTCATCACTAGTTACTTGAGTCCCTTGAATTACAAATGTAGAGAAACCTGAGGTCAATTGATGCCGCATGAGGGGTCTTTTGGTCTGATTCTTCACCAGGTAAAGAATCACAACACAAAAAAAGTCTGCCATCACAGCACACAGCCAAGGTCTATTATGGCAAAAGTAACACTCCATACAGCACACAAAGAAACAGGCCTCCCTCCATACCCCCACCCTGCAAGAGGAGAGGGTACAGAGTTGGAGCACTGTCTACCCCTCTAGAAAGTCTGGACTTCTGTATTCTATAGACTAGGAGGTGGGACAACATTGGGCTCCTCTTTCCCCCTTTGGATTGAACAGAGCAGGATGCGTGTTGCTGGGTTGGTTCACTCATATGAAAGCAGAAACGTGGGTAAAGCAAGGATGGGAAGTTTGAAATTCCAGCCCGAAGTAATCCACCAGTGGGGTGGAAAAGCCTCCAAAAGGACCAACTTTGGACAAGAACCCCAAAGTGGGCCATCTTGGATTGAAGTGAAAATCACTGGAGCATGGCTGGATCGAGTCCTGGTCTCCTTCCCTATCTGCCTAATCTAGAGCTGACTATCTCCTAGTCTCCTCTCAGAAATCACCTCAGCTACTGATGGGGTACAGATGACAGTCATTCTGGCTGCTTCCTACTGGCTGGGGACATAGGTAGTGAGAGCAGTGGGGTAAGCTGAGGGCTGAAACTTGCTCCCCGATTAACTCACTGTGTATCTTGGATTGTCCAAGCAGCCACAGTAAAAACGTGTTCCCAGGTTGTTTGTTTCAATGTTGGAATATTTGGAAGAAAGGGAGATGAAAAGTGACATTTGGTGATGGCCACGGTGTCTGAACAACCTTGACAGATGCAGATTATCCCTGAGAGAAATAACAGAGCAGCAATTAGAACACATAACACCAATTAGAACTCACCAACACAGCACCCATTAGAACTCACCAACACGGCACCCATTAGAACTCACCAACACAGCACCCATTAGAACTAACCCACACAACATCAATTAGAACTCACCAACACAGCACCTATTAGAACTCACCAACATGGCACCTATTAGAACTCATCAACACGGCATCAATTAGAAGGGAAACAGGGAGCTTTCCACCCGTCCATACCTGAAAAGGGCTGGAATTCTGGAGAAAGAGTTAACATCCAAACCAACCAAACAACCCTCCACAGGTTTTATCACACTCATTTATGTGTCTCAACACATTTCATGCTCCTTGGCTCACTGTGTCCTACAGTTGGTGCTGCCTCTTGATCTACCATTAGTTTAAAGAGCTTACCGGTTTCTAGTTTAAATCTAGAAGCAGGTCAAACTGTCTCAGAGATCCTGACCTCACGAGGAAATGAACTTCCTCTGTGTCTTGGCTAAGATAGGTTTTTGATTTGGGGTCGGGACGCTCAGGGCCAACACAGGTTGTCAGGACACCATATCCAAGTTTTGTTTTGTGGCTCAAGTAAAGCTGTCACAGTCGGACTCTGT